CACCCTTTTATTTCAGCTGCAGGCCTGCGCTACAGGTTTAGAGCTACAATGAGTCTTTTGAAGTATCTCTTCACTGGTCCATACAGGCTTTGATATTAGGGCTGTCACTTTTTATTCGATATTCAAACATGACGTGAAATATCCGTAATCGAACTATAAATAAACTATCCGGTTTTTAAAGTGCCATGTGTAGCGCATTTTTTACAGTCTATGATTAGACCGTTTGTTTTTTATTTTATTGTTTGCCATCTCATTCAGGAGCGGGAGCTCTAAACGTTTTGTAGCGTAGGCCCATGACCAAATCAAGCGAATAATAGGCTCGGCTCGTAGATATTTGAATATATTCGAATACATTGCTTGATATTTGATATCTGTTTGAATTCGATTTTTCTCAAAAGTGTCAGGCCTATTTGATATGGGATGTGCGATTACAAGAGACTGTATTCTACTACATGTTTGTAGCATTTAAACAGCCCTTTTTTTAGATTAAGAACGGTTCACACTTGGTAGGTTTGGCTCGATTAAAACAAACTCTGGTGCAATTGCTCTGTTATTGCAGTTTATTTGAATAAGTGTGAACACTGCCAGCTGAACCCAGGTGTGCAATAAACTCTGGTGCAGTTCGACTGATATATGATTACAACATGGACCAAAGACATCTAAAAGAAGCACAAAACAGGATGTGATGTCACAAGATGCGACCCTAAAAAAGACATCACAGGAGCTTCGTTTCCCATTACAGCTGTCGGAAATGCTGTCTCCTTGCAGCAGTTTGAATGTTTATCGGAGGAATTCCTGCTGCTAGTTTGACTTTTTTCACATTTTATAAGACCGTTCATTACAATCGTAAAAATGTGTAAAGTTTGTAAAAAATTACCATATGCACGCACCAAGGCCCTGTCCCAAATGGCACACTCCGGACTTGTGGACTTCCTCAGAGTCCACACTTCGGTGACGTCATGTAGTGCAGACCTAATAGGGCCCTTAGCGCGAGTCCGCGAGGGCGCATTGAGAGGTATTTTTGGGACAGACTCGATCGTCACGCCGGAAACAGGAAGACGGTCTGATTGTTGTTATGGACAGGAGCTACAGGTTCGGGGACATATGCTGCCTATTGTTGTTGTGTTTACATATGACTCAGTAAAGCCCTGACATTCTGTTCTATTTATTTAATGAATCATAATGCGATCGTATTATTCAGCTCGCTATTATTAGCCTATGTTTGAGATATCAACCACTGGTCGTAATGTTTGTATAAACTTGTCATAAAAACCGTAATGATAATTACACTTAAATATTTTAATTCTCAGCCATGTTAACAATTGTCCGTGAGCGACATCTCCTCCCATCCGTTGTCTGATTGGCCTTTCGCAAGGATTCCTGGGTAGTTAAAGTGCGTGGAGCCTGCATCTATGCGGGCTTCGCGGAAGACCGCTTCAAGGGTACAAAGGGGGCGCTGCTGAGCACACTTCAGAGCGTTAAAATGCTAAATGGGGCGGCCTACGGACTCGTAGACTCGGCGAGCACGCGCAATTTAAGTCCACGAGACCGAAAGTCCGCATGAAGTGCGCCATTTGGGACAGGGCCTCAAGTGTGCTGTACAAATCCTGAAAAGTGAAGCCTAAACATTTCAAGCGCCCCCTGGTGGCTGGCTGCAGTATAGGTCTTATGATTGACAGCTGTGCTTGCGATTTAGTTTGTGGGGGAGTATGGGCGGGACCTCAGGATCACTACTGGACAGACTTCGGCAACAACCCTTAGTGGGATATTTTGGCTTAATTTTTCTACAGTGGAAGGAAGCGGAGACGTGCTTTCGATCTTGTTTTTTTTTACATTTTTAACAAAGAGTGCATTTAGGCCAGCGCACAGCATTGTTTCAGTTGTTCATTTGTTCTGTCGCAAAATATACATCAAAAAGCAGTGTTTTTTGTTTTGTATCTTTAGGTGCGATGGCAGTGAACACCAAGCAAACCAGGACTAGTCTAAATGTATCGTTTTCTTTTTTTCGTCTGGACCAGAAGAACGGAGAACTGAACTACAAATGTGAAGTGTGAACACACCCTAAAGGTGATGATACACATTGCAACTTTTTGAGCAATGTTGCAGAGCTATTGTTGCTTGGGAACTTTCCCATTGAGAATGGGCAACAAATTTCTATCTGGATAATTTACATCGGTCGTGGGCCCTGTGTCTCATCTGGTTGCCCTTTGACGGCAACATTGCTCAAAAAGTGTATTATCACTGTAAGAGTGTATCTTACAGTGTATCATCACTGTAAGAGTGTAGTTCAGTTTTAAATGACAATTAAGTTACTAGGTTGCTGCTTTAAATTTAATTTAATAATTTACTGATGGAAGCACTATAGACTAATAAATGATTTAATTTAAATTTGTCTGTACTGTTTTTATGTGATTTAGTAGCTGTTTGTTCATTCAAATAAATCAAATGTAGGTAAATGTTTATATAATTTAGAAAGTTTGTTTGTTTGTTTGTTAGAAGATGAAGTGTTAAACGTCAAGGGTGTGTTTTTATCCTAATCCTGTGGGTTGAGATGTTTGTGAGAACAAGATAATTATCTGTATCTGTACTGACTGAACTGGAGGCGTATATTCATGGTACTTTTGATGAATTGCTGACACGTTATTATTGTTTTAGTCTAGTCACATTCACTAGTTTGAGGAGACAAAAGTCAAGAGCACAGCTTTCCCAAGGACGCGGCTCATGGGCCGCTGTGTGTGCGTTATCAGTGTGTGTGCAAAGTCTGCTGAGTGAGATGCAGGGTAGACGCAACACAATAACCTACTGTGCATAGACAAGAGACGATAAGAGAATTCCCTGCTCAGTAGTGCATCATAGCATCTCTTATATGAGCCAATCAGAGATGAGATAACATCCCCGTGTGATAGTCTGTCCTCTGTGCATCTTGCTTGTTTGCATGTGTATGTAATTATGTAGTTCACACACACGCATGCATAAAGATTTGTTAGTCATTTCAGTCTAGAACCGTGCACAGTTAGGCCAGAAACAAACACTATGCAAGAACGCAAACACAGATGTGAATGTTTAGCCACTACGTTGCAGGCGTGTGGTCCTGTTCCTGTTGTACATATTTTCTGTGTATTCCTGTTTCTGTGAAACCTCAGTACTCATAGGGGTTTTATGTCTAAGCCAGTAAACCTAATCTGTTATAAATATTCTGATAAAGACGTATATAACGTTCCAAAAGATTTCTATTTCCAGTAAATTATGTTCTTTTGAACTTTCTATTCATCAAAGAATCCTGGAAAAAAAATGAATCACAGTTTCCACAAAAATAGCAGCACAACTGTTTTCAACATTGATAATAATAGGAAATGTTTCTTGAGCAAAAATATGTATTTTTGAAGGATCATGTAACACTGAAGAAAATACAATTTAGCATTGCCAATGCCATCACGGGAATATTTCATTTTTTAAATCTATTTAAATGGAAAATAGTTATTTTAAATTGTAATAATATTTCACAGTATTGCTGATTTAGCCTACTGAAGCATAAAAATAATTGGTATCAACTGTAAATATCGGCATTTATTGCTATTATTTTTCAGGTAACTGTCAAGTTTAGCAAACTAATTAAGATTATTTTCAAACTGTATCTTTTACAAAGAAAACCTACTTTAGAAAGCTAAATTAATTTGCTGTATGCTAATGCTCACTAGCCCACCCGCTGTGGCAAAACTTAGAATGCAACGTATTCTTGTATTGCATTATGATCTGCGTCCTGAAACAGATTTGCATTTCAGAATTCATTAACCTGTTAGTCTGAATTTAGATTAGCTAGAAGCCTTTCCATTCACATTGCATAGAGTTGTGAAGATATTTCAGGGCCTTGCACATGCACGTCAGTTTCTAGAGAGCAAAAACATACCATGTGGAGACTGCAACTTGAGCTAACTAGCCAATTCCTCTCTCTTTCTCGCATGACTTCCCCCAAAATTCCTTACAGGTTCCTCCTCTTTAGATCCTCTCTCACGTTCTTCAATGTGTACAACTCGCAGAAAGTCAAGCAAGCTCTGTATTTTAAAATGTAATGCAAGATTCCTGTTCTGCTTTTTGTAAGTTTTCTGTAGTTTTATCTTAAAAAAGCAGAAGATCCACCCAACAACAGTAAAGAGTAGTAGTTGTTTTGTTGCTGAAGTGTGTGTTCACTTTCCCATTGGACTATTGGAAGCAAACAAAGTTAATGGTTCCCCTCTGATTTGCTTCCCTGGATACAACACACACACACACACACATACACGCACAGAGAGTCAGAGAAATACTGATGTCACCTATGTGGCAAAAGAAATTGGGACTTTCTTAAAATCCTTTCTGAAAGGCTCATACGCTGAACTTCCTGTGTAAAATCACTCGCAAGTGTCATCTCTTCAAAGCAGCACAAAACAGCAGGCCGCACTCTTTTACTGTACGTCTGCGCTGTGTATTCAATAGTGTGAGTTTACATGAAAGAATAGTCTTTAAAAGACTAAGACTGACAAGAGAAGGAGAGAAGGCCATCGATTGTGTGCTGGAAAGAACAGACGAGAAAAAGAGAGCAGGGACAATAGTGAAGGGGGCAATTACTCGTGGAGACGGACCAAATGTAGGTCAAGACACGCGGGCCGCTTCCTCCACGCCAGTCGTGCAGTTAATCAGCTTTAGTTTCATTAAAAGAGCTACTGGACACCAGACTAATTCTGTCTCAATCTGCTGGGTTTTAATATTCATCACCATCAGCCCAGCGGACGTTTACACTCAAGCTGGTGTAAGCTCACACACACGGCTGCTCTCTAAGCACTTACTGTGATGTATTGTGTTCATAACATGCAGCCTCTAACTTATGTTCTTCTTCTGTTTCCCTCCCATCTGTTTTATTCTTCCTCACATGTCTCATTCATCCATCTTTCAATCGAACCCTGTCTCCCCCTCCCCATCCTTCCTTCCCCTCTTTATCTCCTCTGCGTTTTCTGGCTGTCTTGCAGACAAGCATAGACTTCCTGTGGCAGGGTCTTGGTGTACCACCAGCAATAACGGTAGCATTCGTCGCACCTCCTCTTTGGACGCGCTCACAGCCCCTTACCTGTCCGGACACTGGCCCCGGGACGTCATCCACGCCCCTTGCGCCCCTTGCATGAGGGACAAATCCACCCAGGTGAGCTGCCCCACTTGTACCCTTTGTTATTACACTGTGTAATAACAAGTAGTGCATTACCCAACATCTCACGCATACACACCTCCTATCAATCAGCCATTCACTTCTACATGAAAACTTTCCGCTCCAACCTTTCCAACACCAAATACCTACTTGCATAAACGCGTGTTTTGCTAACCACCAGCATGAATCACCTGAGAAACACTTGCTTTGTGCAAAAACAAACCCATGAAACCACCACAGACATGTCTTGTATGCGCTCTGCACCCGTGAGACACAGTTGACCTGAGTCTCGTGTAGCTAGAAGTTGAGTATCAGCATGCAGCCTAGTTCACTTGCCCACTTCAGTTGGCCATGAATCACCGACCTAAATAGCAGGAGACAATTTAAATTATTCATACCGCAGGGTTCTTTTTTTTTTTTTTTAAGGAAATTAAAGGGATAGTTCACTTTGAAATAAATTTTTTATATGTTTTAGCTTACCTCAAGGGCATCCAAGATGTAGGTGTCTTTGTTTCCGCAGTAGGGCTGCAATGATTCGTCGACGTTGTCGACAAAAATCGATAATAGAAATAGTCGACAATGAATTTCATTGTCGAAGTTGTCGCCAGACATGATTTTTCCGACCGAGGCATCTCTCTTCATTACAATCTCTGCCGAGAGTCGCACATGCGCATTAGCTTCTCTGCTGAGCGATAACATACAGAAATGGCGGCGTCCAACGCAGCAGCTGCGCGTACCAAAACATCTAAAGTTTGGGAGCATTTTAGCCTGGATACGGCGAATAAAAAGATTACCTGCATGGTTTGCAAAGCAGTCCTTGCGTATCACGGCAGCACCTCGGTGATGCACGAACATTTAAAGAGAAAGCACGTCGGACAGTTGAATGAAACGGAGTTTGACTCGCCTCGGTAAGATTTAAATAACATGGAAGCCAATACGTTTTGTTTTGGATGTACATTGTACATTTTATAAGCGTATTTTCGGTAAAAAACTGTTTTATTGCTGCTAATGTGCCTGCCCCTGGTTTACAGGAAGAAAATGTTTACTTGATTTTAATTTATTTTTTCTTATAAAACAAATGTGCCTGTCCTTTATAAAAATGATAGAGTTTCTTTATTTATGTATTTATGCCTATACTGACCGAGCACTGTGCCTAATTGGTTTTAGACAGGGCATTTTTATTTACTTTTAGTATGAATCGGCCTATCAGCAGCAAAGTTCAATAAAATATGCATTTTTCATTGAAGTACCCCCTTCTTTCTTGTGTTTACTATCATTTTCCACAGAATTAAAGCAATCTCATGCTAAATTTTGGAAAAATTTAATAATTATTCGATTAGTCGACTAATCGTTTCAATAGTCGGTGACTAGTCGACTATTAAAATAGTCGTTAGTTGCAGCCCTATTCCGCAGTAGTTTCAATTTTGATATTTTTAGGTCAAACCGTTCTTGTCTGTCAGTCATATAATGCAGGTCTATGGTCACCACCTCAAAGAGCATGCACAGAGAAGTCCAAATTAAACATGATTTAATGACTCGTAAATGTAAGTACACATTGATGGCCTAAGACACGAAACGAGCGGTTTGTGTGAGAAAACGAACCGTATTTATATCGTTTTTACCTCTTGTAACCACAGCCACGTCCAAGTGATCTGAGGGCGCGGGCGCTTCGGTCTGCGCAAGTGCCGGAAAGCGCCGGAAGTGATCTAAATATGGTTGTGAAAAAAATTCAACGTTGTCTGTTGATATATCGAAATCATCTCCCATTGCGATTTCCTGTATAAATATGTTTAGATCTCAACAGTGAAAGGTAACACTTCCGAAATCTCTGTGTAAACAATGAGTGACGTACACGCGCGAGAGATCACTTCCGGCGCTATCGCAGACCGAAGCGCCCGCGCCCTCAGATCACTTGGACGTGGCTGTGGTTACAAGAGGTAAAAACGATATAAATACTGTTCGTTTTCTCACACAAACCGCTCGTTTCGTGTCTTAGGCCATCAATGTGTACTTACATTTACGAGTCATTAAATCATGTTTAATTTGGACTTCTCTGTGCATGCTCTTTGAGGTGGTGACCATAGACCTGCATTATATGACTGACAGACAAAAACGGTTTGACCTAAAAATAACAAAATTGAAACTACTGCGGAAACAAAGACACCTACATCTTGGATGCCCTTGAGGTAAGCTAAAACATACCAAAAATGTATTTCAAAGTGAACTATCCCTTTAACTTTTATTCAGCAAGGATGCATTAAATTGATCAAAAGTGACTGAAGAAATTGATAATGATACAAAAGATTTTTTTCAAATATATGCTGTTCTTTTTAACTTTCTATTCATTAAAGAAACATGCAAAAAATGTATAGCAGTTTCCTCAAAAAATATTAAAAGAAATGTTTCTTGAGCATCAGATCAGCATATTAACACAGTCTTCAGTGTCACATGATCCATCAGAAATCAGAGTTATGATACTGAAAATTCTGCTTTATCTCAGGAATAAATTACATTTTAAAATATAGTAAAATATAAAACAGCCATTTTAAATTCAATTGTAATAATATTTCACAGTATTACATTTTTCACTGTATTTGTGATCAAATAAATGCAGTCTTGATGACCATAAGAGACCTCTTTCTAAAACATTTAAAAGTCTTACCAACCCCAAACTTTTGAATGGTAGTGTATGTATGTTCAAAGAGTAGCTATTATTTCACAGATATAACCAGTGTGGGTCTGTAGTGCACTTACTGATTCCTTAAGAATTTGTTCAAAAATCAACATTTTCATATTTACGTACCCTCATTTTGTTCCAAACCTGTTTGATTTTTCTTTCTTCTGAAACACAAAAGATGATGTGTTTTGGTCCCTACAATGAAAGTCAGTAGGGGGCTGATGTTGTTGGCCAGTGTGGACTTTCAGTGTATGGACCAAAACAATTATTCAAATTATCATCTTTTATGTTCCACAGAATAAACAAGTCATGCAGGTTTGTATCAACATGAGGGTGAGTAAATGATAACAAAATTAGCATTTTGGTGTGAACTATCCCTTTAAAGGGGTAGTTCACCCAAAAATGAAAATTATGTCAGTAATTACTCACCCTCATGTTGTTCCAACCCCGCAAGACTTTCGTTCATCTTCGGAACACAAATGAAGATATTTTTGATTAAATCTGAGAGCTGTCTCACTCCTCCATAGGCTTCTAAGGGATTGAAACTTGCCGGCCCAGAAAAGTTATTAAAGACATCGTTGAAATAGTCCAAGTGACTACAGTGGCTCAACCTTAAGTTTATCAAGCGACGAGAATACTTTTTGTGCGCAAAAAACAAACAAAAATAACGACTTTATTCAACTATTCATTTCCTCCTCTGTGGGCCTCGAGTCAGTTCACGTAGTGGAACTGCAGAGCGCTTCTGTGTTGTGTCACTTGATAAACTTAAGGTTGAGCCACTGCAGTCACTTGGACTATTTTAACGATGTCTTTAATAACTTTTCTGGGCCGGCAAGTTTCAATCCCTTAGAAGCCTATGGAGGAGTGAGACAGCTCTCAGATTTAATCAAAAATATCTTCATTTGTGTTCCGAAGATGAACGAAAGTCTTGCGGGGTTGGAACAACATGAGGGTGAGTAATTACTGACAGAATTTTCATTTTTGGGTGAACTAACCCTTTAAAGGGATACTCTACCCAAAAATGAAAATTCTGTCATCATTTACTCACCCTCAAGTTGTTGCAAACCTGTATGAGTTTCTTTCCTCTGCCGAACACAAACGAAGATATTTTGAAGAACGATTGGAACCAAACAGTTGTTTGGCAGTATTGACTTCCATAGTAGAAAAAAAAAAATACTATGGAAGTCAATGGTGCCAAAGTTCCAATCGTTCTTCAAAATATTGTGCTTTGTGTTCAGCAGAAGACAGAAACTCATACAGGTTTGCAACAACTTGAGGGTGAGTAAATGATGACAGAATCTTCATTTTTTGGGTGGAGTATCCCTTTAAGGCTAAATATATTTAGCACAATCCTGGTCAAATAAACACAAATAAACAAATATTACAATCAATCAGCCTGTATTAATCTTTATTCATAGGTTTCCAGTAGAATAATGCCATAATCGCACCAAACTAAAATGTGCAAAATAAACACCTCTCAAAACAAACCGTCACTCTTTTACCTCGGTGCGGTGAGTGCGTAGGACACACAGATGCGTTCTCACATGCACACTCTTGCCTGTGTTTGTGAGCAGCTATTAACATCTATTACTGTAGGATTTTATTGTTGTTTTTCCACAAGTCCAAACACAGATGTTAGTTTTTCACTGCCTGAAAGACGTAACTCTACAAAATAAGAGAAGCGTAATGTTAAAGTTATTATGGATAAAAAAGATAGTCTAGAGAGAGAGAGAGAAAAGGAGGAAGCCTCTCCCTGGTTTGTTGAGAGATGAGAGGAAACTGTGGCATATTTCTGGTGAAGGCCTGAAGCTTGAGCTTGAAGCATTCTTTCCTGAAGCTGCCTGTTTTTCCAGCCTATTTTTCTTCCAGAAACACATCAGAGCCAGTCCATATCTGATTATTAACAACATTTTTGCACTACAAAAAAATAAAAATCCTTAATTAATTGTTGCTGGCATTTCAAAAAATGATTTATTGATTTGAGTTTTAATGTACATATGTCTGCTATCATGAGGAGGCATATATTAAAAAGGAAGTGATGTCAGAGGCATGTTTTCATTTATATCACTCAAACCCAAACCCATCCATTAGAAAAAGCATTAAAGATTAAACGCCCTGGTTCTCTGGGGTCTTATCTTACCCTCTCTCATCTAAGCCTGAGTGTACTGTGTGTGTGTGTGTGAGAGAGTTTCCTCTGGAGATCCTAGACCTCCACCCAGCTCTTTTTGTCAGCAGTGTGCCTGTCTCACAATGAGTGCGAAAGGGAGCTTGGTGAGTTGGAGGCGAGTGTGGAATTTGGACAACATTTGCAAAGCTTGCT